AGCCTATCAAACCTTCTTCCTCCCCTCCCTTCTTTAAAAGCAAATTTTCTCCATGATCTGGAACTTTCCTCACCTCTTCTGTTCCCTTTGCTTAGTCTTTTGAGGCCTTCTCTCCCCACAATAAATCTCTTGCCTGTCTAATTATGTCATGGCCTTTGCTTCTTGGAAGTCAAAACTGACCTATTAGTCCCAGGAAACACACTTGGGCCTGTTTGGACCCAGGCAGCATTTTTCCAGTTTCTAGACTGATCCTACCAGAGAAGCTGACTGAGAAGATGGAGGAATAGCCAGAAAGAGCTTAAACCCTAGGGAGGCTTAACCCAAGTACAAATGTTCAACACGATCTGGGCCAGGGCTTCAGTGAGTGTCTACCAGGCCATATTTGTTTACATGGAAACCTCTGCCCTCTCCTCTCATGGGCTTCAAGAGGCTGCCTGAGATCCACTGCAAAAGGCAGAACTTCAGCCAGGGCCTCCCCATCCTGCCCTACAGCTGACCTGGTCACTTTGAGACCTTTTCCCTGGTCCGTTGCATCCCATGGATCAAGGCTATGGCTGACTTTCGTCATGCCTAAGCAAAGTCCCAGGAAATTCTGTCTTTGGAATCTGTTCTTGGCCAGTAGCCAAAGAGGCCTAGTTTTGTCATTTTCTACCAAAAATGTTTCCTCCCAGTCCTATGCTTAATTCAAGAGAGTAATGGGTAAACACATGGGCTATTTTTATTCCCACCTCCCATGCGCACATCCTCCTCCTTCCAAATGTAGCCTCCGGATTCTAGAGTCACACATCAGCTTGATGTTGCAATGGAAAAAATGAAAATGCTCTCCCTCAATCAGATGAACAATTGCTTCAGTAGCCGCCTCTTCCTTGACCTTCCTGCCTCACTGTCCTCTCAGACAGCTTGCCCAGGATGAGAAACACAGAGGGGGAAGGGAGCTTTGGTTTCTCTGCAAATAAACCAATGACGATTTGAAGACAAACAACAAATGGAGGTCTCAGTAAAACTTAGACTTTAGCCATCAACATTTACTACTCCTGGACTCCAGGCACCCCTCACCCTCCAGAATTGCCTACCACCCCAGGAGGACATCCTCATTCAGAGCCCAAATGTCTTACAAGTGACTTAGAACATAGAGCAGATACTCAGAAAATCACTTTGAAATATCGAATAAAACTTGGGCTAATGCTGGTCCGTAAACATAGGGATATGGAAAATCAATAAAACAGGAAGTCGTTGTTTTACAAAACTATTCTTTGTTCTTTACATTGCCAATGGTATGCATTTATATCACCATTTCTCTAAGCAAATGCACAAGAGGGTCACTTCTGAGAGCTGCATACGGTGGAGAGAGACTTTACTGCTCCCTGCTTGGCTCTGGCCTATAGAAGGGGCTGCCTCCTGCAGGCGAGAACCAGCTGTATCCTTCTTGGCTTGGGCAGGGGAGTTTGCAGAGTGACCCAGGCTGTTCTTAGTAGAGGGGTCTCTGTGGATCTTTGGATGGCTTTCCCGATAGTGGCACCTCCTGTCGTCCTTGAGTTCCAGGTAATCGTCTATGGACTTGTGGGGGAAGGTCTGTATGGACCTGGTTAGGGTTAAAGATGCCCAGGAAGTTGAGGGGATTGAGAAGGGAACTGGAGTGGGGGTGTTCTGAAGAAGGATCCTGACTCAGGTTTTGTATTCGTCTGCTCGGGCTGCCATAACCAACACCATCGACTGGAGGACTAAGAGAACACACAGTTTATCACAGTTCTAGAGGCTGGAACTCTCAGATCAAGGTCCAGAAGAGTTTGTTTTCAAAGTCGTTCTTTCCGATTTGGAGATGCTTCCTCTTTTTCTTCCTCACTGTATCCTCATGTGGCCTTCTTTGTGTGGGTATGTCTGTATATGAGGGGAGGGAGGAGAGGGGGGAAGGGGAAGAGAGGGAGAGACAGGCAGAGTCAGGCAAAGCTGACCACCTATGGCCAGGAAGCGAAAAAGAGGAAGAGATCGGGATCCCATAATACCAAAGCCTGGGGCAATAGAATGGGGGGTTGTTTAAAGGGTCCAGAGTTCCATTTGGGAGAGTGAAAAGGTTCTGGAGATGGCTGGTGGTGGTGGTGATGGTTGTATGACTATATTTAATGCTACAGAGCTGTACACTTGGTGAGGTTTAAGTGATATTGTAAGAAATACTCTTTCTGATCACTTGAGTTTCCAAGTTTGCCAAGTTACCATGATGAGTGTTGCATTGTACAGAATCTTGGAAGCAAATCATTTCCTTCCACTAGACACTGTACAGGTAATCTCCCTTTTTTGCTTGTGCCTTTTCTATATCAAAATACCTTGGTAGCCCTACTCTTCCTGCTCTGTAGAAGCCCCCGAGATAGGTTCTTTTGAGAGCTTATCTTCCCCAACCCACCCCTGAAATCCTCTTGATCTCACTGCTATTTCTTCAACATTCAGAAACTGAGGACCTTTGTAATTTATAGGTCTCGTTCAGCACTGTGACCTGCTCTGAGAATATTTGAATGGAGCATCAGGGTTTGTGTATAGACAAAAGGAGAGTGGAGTGGGAAAGAGTTTGAGGGGTCTTTGAGGATACTCTGAGCAAATAAATACAAAAGACAAGTTATACCATTTCTTTAGTTCAGATTGTTGAACCAGTGCCATTTAAATGGACAAGATGAGTCAGCTATTTCATGTACCCTTTAATAAAGTATGAAGAAGCTACCATGAGCCAGCACTTCTGCTCACACAGTGGCACTGAGGTTTCTGAGAGGTCCCACACTAGTTGGGGAAATCAAATGGGCACTAATGGCAGAACAGGAGAAGGGCCATACACAAATATCTATTCTGTTGGTTGCAAGGGGTAGAAAATCAATTGTGCTTTAGAGTCAAAGGAAAAATATTGGCTCATAGGCTAGAAAAGCCAAGGGCAGGTGCTTTCAGACACAGTGGGATCCAGTTACTCAGCATCTTCAGAATTGTCCCCCTCATCCTTCTCTGCAATCCTCCTTCTAGGGGAAAGCCCACCTCTTATGGTAACTGGAATGTATTAAGCTTACTGTTTGCTTCTTACTATTTTAGTAAATTACACATGAACAGAGTCCTTTGACAATTTTGGTAGAAAATCTTGTCAAAGTAAATCTGAGATCAAGTACCCAACTCCAGATCTGGGGGTAAGCCAATCTAAGGATTAGCTCTACCTTACTATATAAACTGGGTGGTAACTGGAGGAGATGTTTCCCTTTGGGAAACCCAATGGCTCCTAAAAGAAGAGAGTAATGGGTCCTGGCTGGGGAGAGCATTTTTCTCACCACAGAGTGGCAGTTTAGATAAGGCAGTGGCCTGGTCTCCTGGAAGAAGGCAGAGATGGCTTCCCAGAGGGATCAGTGTTTGCACTGGACCTTAAGACGGGGACAGTATGAAGGTTCAGAGAGGGAACCCACCCAAGAAAAGGCACAAACATATTGAATAACCAATTATTTTAGATGAGAAAGTTCTGTGTGATCAGCCTGTTATCAGGAGATACCAATAATTCCTGGGAGGACCACACAGTGTTGAGGCAGGAGGGACTCAATCCACTCAACAGCCATACCTTGTTCTTCTAGTAATGCTAATAGAATTTCCTAAAATAAGAAAAGCAATACAATATTAAGTGACCTAAATGTCCCATTAGTTACTCCTTGGTTAAAGATAGGCAAACATTGGGCAGAGAGGTACATGCTTATAGTCCCAGATACTTGGTAGGCTGAGGCACTTGAGCCCAGAAGTTCTGGACCAGCCTGATACCCCATGCCTATTTTTTAAGAGCCTATAGAGCTGCTAAGAAAGTTGGATTGTTCAACTTGGGATACAATTCACAAAGATGATTTTCTTTTGATGTTCTTAGATTTTTGTTTTGCCTTTTACTGTGAAGTGGGCCAAGAGAGAACATTACCCATCATGAGAACTATCAATGATCCCCATGTGAAGACAGATAACTCATTTGAGAGGCACCATGTATCTTATATAAGAAAGATATATTTGGGACTGAGGTTTCAAAAACAGCTTAGGTATTTCATTTCACTTCTGTGCCTTTAAAAAACTAATAGATCACAAAGAAGATAATTTGTGACAAATTAGTCCTTGGTCTTCTTCCCCAACTGTCATAGGAGCACAGTTGAGTTCTTCTTGGATAACAATTCTCGGAGGTGGAACAATGTTGAATGCTCCCAGGGTTTACACCAAGAGCCACACAACAGCTCCAGACCTAGAAATGCTCAACAAAGTTCTCATTTAAAATTCTAAAGTTCTAGTGTACTTTCCAGGAACACCTCCACCCTGACCATATGAGCAGGAGGGACTCAGTTGCTTTTATTATCCCAAAGACACTTGCTCTTAGATTATTGAAATTGCCTCCTATGTAGAAGTAAACAGCTATTTGTTATCCAGGCTTCAACAAATAAAGAAATAAGCCAAGAGATTGGGAAAACAACCAGCCACACACCGTTTATTCTTGATTTGTCACCAGTTCCATGCTTTGGTATTTTCTCCACATATTAAATATATAATAACAAACTATTAATATACAAATAAAATGTGTGCAGTGCTGGCCACATGCCTATAATCCCAGTGGCTTGGGAGACTGAGATGGGAGGATTGCAAGTTCAAAGCCAGCCTCAGTAACAGCGAGGCGCTAAGCAACTCAGTGAGACCCTGTCTCAAAATACAAAAAATAGGACTGGGGATGTAGCTCAGTGGTTGAATGCCCTTAAGTTCAATCCCCAGTACCCCACTCCCCCCCCCAAAAAAAAAAAAACATGCGCAGCATGTTAGGAAATGAGTAAACCTGGGTAGTTGTGGTTCCTGTACCCAGGTTTATGAAATTGGCCCTTATAGAAACAGGGCAACTGTGTTGGGTACCTTCTGAGGTTCTATGCCATTCCTAAGCTGGAGGTTGTCCATCAAAGAGTAGAATCAGCCACAGTGGGTTCAAGGTGGTTAGTAACAGTTCATAACAAGAGCCAGGGATGCTCTTATTTTTTTTCTTGGGTCCTCTTTGTTCTTTTGTTTGACAAATGTTTTCAATTCAGTACTATACCCCAGGAGCTACGGACAAAGGGGGCACAAGATGGAATCAGAGAAAGCTTAAATGGAATCCAGAAAGTTCTGTGGAAGACAGCTGATAATCTCCTTAATGACGCAAAAATGTACAGAATATCTAATCATCTTTTCCTAAGGGGAAAACATTTTTGGTTTGGGTTAAGTAGATGTTTTTTGGAAGAGGGGAAAAAAATGTCATGGGAAATGGAAAAAATCTCTAAGGTCTATATAGCACATGAAATATCTAAGTAGTAAAATATTAAAGGGCAAGAGGGAATATCTGTAAAATATATATAGTGCACATGTGGATGAAAAGTAAGATTGAACAATAGTCATTGTAAGAGCACTTGGTATATAAACTCGAACATTCCTTTTCAAATTCAGCTTCTCAGAGGCTGGACTTCAGTTGTCTGAGCATTTTCAACATTATCTTTGCCTTTATCATTCTTCATGCGGATAAACACAACTGCTAAAATTATACCTAAAAGAGAAAACCCAGGGTCAAATAGATGGAATCTTCAGATGAAAAGTAGAATCTTCTTAGGAAAAAGTGACTCACACAGCTTCATTTGTTTGTAGTTCAACAATGTTTCGTTGTCCTAGTGAACAAGGGACTCTAGACATTGGCTTTCTTGGGTAAGGAATCACTTGATATTAGTGTTTATCAAGTTCCCAGTCATATCTAACCTGCTGGCCCTCTACACTCCTGCGTGGATAAGCTTCTGACAGCATTCCTGAACTTTGTACATATTCAGATAGTCCTCCTCCCTTGGAGAACAGTCCCATCAGAACAACCAGAGAGCTGTTCTGAGCTACTCACCCACTTACAGCCTACTTTCATTGTCTACACAAAATATAAATTTTGACACCCTTCTTGTGGTTCCAGCCTAGGTTATTAAGGGACCTTAAGTAGACTGCCTAAGCTTCCTGGTTTCTCCCATCTCTGAACTCCTACAAAATTACATTGTACACCTTAGCACAAATGTTGCTACTATGAAAAGGGGATTTTTTTAAAAGAATACTTTAGGTGTAAATGGTCACAATCTTTATTTTTATGTGGTGCGTCAAACGTTTTAGGCGAGTGCTCTACCCCTGAGCCACAACCCTAGTCCCAAAAAAGGGACTTTAAAGGAAATTAATCTCAGTACATTTACAAGACAAATCATAGCAGAAAAGACTCGATGCTCAGAAGCCCATTAAGAATCTTGTAATAACCCCAACCTTCTTTCAAAAAGAATAACAGTATGAGGCAGGAAAGATGGTAGAATGAGACAGTCATCATTACCTTAGGTACATGTATGATTACATGAATGGTGTGACTATATTGTATATAACAATATAGAATTGAAAAATTGTGCTCCATTTATGTACACTGAATTGAAATGCATTCTGCTGTCATATATAACTAAGCAGAATAAAAGAAGTATGAAATTGTAAGATCCCATTAGTTCTACCCATATATATGTACCCCCAACTTCATCCGTTCATTAACTAGTTGTGGGATTACAGGATTAAATAAGTGTGTAAGAAAACTGCTATCTGGTATATAAACTAAAAAACCCTTTCAAGGTAAGTGGGCAAAATAATAGAGTTGGAAGGGAGCTTGGTAAGTGAATGGGGCCTACAAGAGCCAGTTTCATTAGCGTGAAAGGTGTGTGGCGGGCAGTGGTCCTCAGGGAAGCACAGTCACTGTGCATGTTAGGGTGGGCTGCAACCATGTCGTAAGGAGTTTGCACTGAAGGGTATAAAGAAATCCTTTTTAGGCCCATGAATCATAGTCTACCATGATGGTTTGGGTCAGGAGACAAAAAACAAGAGGTAAAGAACACTCAGAACAGCCAGGCATGGTGGCACACGCCTGTAATTCCAGCATTTCGGGAGGCTGAGGCAGGAGGATTGTGAGTTCAAAACCAGCCTCAGCAAATTTGAGATGCTAAATAACTCGGTGAGACCTGTCTCTAAGTAAAATACAAAAAAAGGGCTGGAGATGTGGCTCTGAGTTCAATGCCTGGTACCCCCCCCCCCCAAAAAAGTAAAAATACTCACAATAATCCCCATTCCCCTCTTTATTAGGGAAAGTATGTGAAACTGTTACCCTCACCATACGTGCACGTGACTGAAGGGGTTAACAACTGAAAAGGGTAATTACAGTAGTAGGAGCTGAGTTGTTGGCAGAGTCAAGGCAATGATGCAGTGGAGCTATTTTGGGTCATAAAGAATCAGGGTCCAGTCGTGAAAATATACAGAGGGCAGTTCTGTCGCATTCCAGGCATGTCAGCACCTCCAGTGGAAAGCTAATGTCTACCTATTCCAGTAATGGCAGAGACTCTACCTCTGCGTCTCCCCAACCCTGGCCCAAGCATGCTGCGCCACCCATAGCTGGGCACTGCAATGACATTACTTTTTCTTTCATCCTGAAAGCTGGGTAACTAGCCTTAGAATATAATAATTTATGCTTTAAAGCTAGATAGGGTTTGGAGCTTTATGTCCCTCAGGGGTTCATGGTGCTATGAGGTGGTGGTGAGATCTTTGAGTTGGGGTCTTGTGGAAGAAAGGTCTTCCAATTATTCAGGGAATGCCCTCAAAGAGGACCATGGAACCCCAGCCATTTCCTCCTCTCTCATTTGTCCCCTGCTATGAAGTGAACAGCTTGGCTCTGCCACACACTTCTGCCACCACATGTTCCCTCGCCATGGACTCAAAAGCAAGAGGTCAATCAATTATGGATTGGAACCTCTGAACCAAATAAATCTTAAGTTATCATCTCCAGGATTTGAGACAGTATTGTTAAGCTGACACAAAGCCTCTTATCATTGCCTTTTTAGTTTGGGAATATATGTATAGGGTTACTTAAAGCAATCTCTCCAAACCAATAAAGTTTGTGCCTGGCTTGCCATGTGAGCATCCACCCAAGCAATCCACCAAGGCAGTCACTGAGAAGAACTTGTGTTTCTGGAGCCTAGAGAAGCTGTACTCACCAATGACTAGAAGGGTTGTCAGGAGTATACCAACTGCCATAGCCACAGTGGGCCTCCCTTCCTGTGTATCTACTGGTCGGAAACAACTTCCTTCCACGCATGGGCAGAAAGTAACTGAAAAAACAGAACAGTATTTGGTAGGATTAAATTTCAAGTACATGGTGCAAAATTCTACAAAGTCAAAAATCCTAAGTTGCCTGCAGTAAAATACCCACCTGGTAAAAAGACAGTCCCTTCCAAAGGTGGCCGACCCCCGTCATTAATGCGGATGGCGATTTTATAAAGTCTTTCTTCAAAGTTTGTGTGCTTGGTGGAGAGTCTGGCATGAGTGCCTGTCAAAATAGGGGAAAAGCAAATGAATGACATGAAAACACAACTTCTAGAGCCCTGGCTCACCAGGAAGAGAACTCAGCTTTGTATTGTAGACAAAGTTGGGAAGTGGTTAGAGATAAGTTAAATTACCCAAAGCCATCACCTACATCCTTTGAGTGAGTTGTCTCATAATGCTGAATGGTTAAAGCATCCTTTAAGTTCTCAATTCATGATTTCTAGGTAGAAACAAATACGATTCTTTCCAGTAGTTGGCTCTATAAGTGTTGCCCTAAACACTCAAGTAGCAAATATTAAGTGACACACGGGGTTAGATTCCTGTGAGCTTTCAGTCACAGCATTTTAATCAAGTGATGAACATATTAGTGTGTTTCCTGCCTGTTTCTGGCTTATATCTTATTTAACATATTGTTGACTCATTGAGCTCACAGCCAGCAGTGTCACACCCCCCACCTGAAGGCAGCTTATCTATCATGTGTCCCTTCTCTCTAAGGTACATCACAGCCTTCTTTCACTTGGAACACTAGTTGGCACTTCACTCTGCTTTAGAGCCATTTTTAAATAACAAAACCCCCAAGGAAAAGCAGAAACATTCCCCAAACAAGGCTCTAAGTCGGTTGCTAAAGAATATTTGCCAAGAGCGTGAGCAAAATCCAGAGGCCAAGTATCACCTTGTTCATCCTCAGCTGGGAGCATGCATTGTGCACTCTGCAGGGGTCCGTGAATGCAAAGCCTTTATTAAGTATTGGTTTTGGGGGTTATAAATCTTAGCTAGACAATGATTTGTAAATATATAACCTATAAGTAATGAGAATTGATGTCTACAGCATGGTGTGTAGGGAGTACATAGGAGAGAACATCTGTAGAACTGATCCCGAGTTTCTAACCTGCTCCTCCTAAGCTCTGACACTGGTGAGTCACAACATCAGTAGCCCTGAGAATCTCTTCAAGTCCTGAAATAAGGGGATATTAGTCTGACGTTCAGAGTACTTCCCTTTCCCATTTTAGTTACTTTGCATTCTTAATTTTCTATAAGACTCACATTTCTAGAGACAGTTTTCATCTTGTTGCAACTCCCTATTCATATACATGCCTAGAAATTTTCCAGAGTTTGGTGAAAGATTTTTAGATTTCAAAATTATTTTGGCATACACTTTCATTTCTAGAAAAGATGGAATAACTGGGATCAGATTTAGCCATTTTTGGTAGATGGCAAAAGAACAAATTATGAAACCATAAAGACATTGGCTTTTAGACAACAAAGGACAACCATCCCTGAAAAATAGATGATGTAAGTCCTACCATTGCCTCTAACTTACTACTTTAAAATGTCCAGGCGTGACCCTGAATTGAGGCAATGGAGCTGAATAAGGAGATGGATATTAAGGCCACTGGAGTTCACAGAAGCAAGTACCTGGGAGACGGCACCTGTGTACGTACTAAAGTCCTTAACCAAGTATTGGTCAGAATATATATACATAAGGTAGCTCCATAAGACTGGGGAAAGAACCCCCAATAGAATAATTAGAACAATCTTTGTGAACTCCCAAGAACCAAAAACCTCATAATTCAAGGGGCATCAGGTAGAGTTCACAGAAGGGTTTTGCTTCAGACATTTGGAAAAATTAGCTCTAAAATAAAACATTGCCCTTGTCCTGCCTAACCAAACAAAATTGTTTAAAACTGATGCTTTCATGTTGTTTTAAAACACTTTCCAAGTAACTGAAGCTCAAGAATATTTATGGGAATATAAAAACATTCAGCATCCAAATAACTTAATAAAAAAATTGAGACATCCAAGAACAGAAAAATGAGAAAGCAAGATGTCAAAACCGACCCAGAAATGACACATCATGAGAACGGTGAGCAAGGACAAGTTACTGTGGTCATATTCTGTTTAGGAAGCTAGAAGAAAGGTTGAGAATGTTATATATAGATATGAAGACCCAAATTAGAGATTAAAAACTAAACAGTTTGAGATTTTCTGAAAAAAGATGAGATTAACATCAAATTGGGGGGAAAAAAAATCAATGAATTTAAAGTTGCATAAGCTATTAACAATGGAGACAAACCAAAAACTTAACAGGGTATCAGTGAGCAATGATGGACTTCAAGTGGCTTAAATACATGTATTGACTGCATTTCTGAAGAGGAAGAAAGCAAAAAATAAATAATGAGTAATATTTTTCCAATTCTAATGAAAACTCTAAGCCCTTCTTCCAGAAAATCAGTAAACCTCAGGAATAAGAAAAATAAAAAAAATTACACCATTGCGGGTAATCAAGTTGCTTTAAAGGAAAACGGTCTCAAAAATTTTTAAAGTAGCTCAACCATATGTTCTCCAGTCATGATAGAATTAGATGAGAACCAGAAAGATGTATAAAATATTCTCTAAATATTTGGAAACTAAACACAGGTCACAGAAGAAGTCTAAAGAAAAACTCTTTTGAACTAATGAAAATGAATACAGAGTATATAAAACTTTGCAGAATGCAGCTAAAATAAATTTATAGCAGATAAATTTATAGCACAAAATGTCTGAAAAAAATTTTCTAATTGTTGCAGCTTCTACATTAATACAATAAGAACAAAATTAAGCACAATATAAGAAGAAATAAGACCTAAACAATCAAATATAAAACTGATGAAATCAAAAGCTGGTTCTTTGAAAATGCCAATAAAATTAAATTTCTAACTAGATTTATCAGGAAAAAAATTTCTAATGTCAGAATGAATGACATCACTACATATCTGCAGATACTAAGATAATAAAATATGAATAACTGTATACCAACCCATTAGACAAATCAAACAAAATACATTATTTGAAAGATGTAAAAAAGCTCATCCAAAAAAATTGAATTTGTCATTAAAATTTCATACACACAAACCCAGTTCCAATGTCTTCTTCACTAGTTAAGTCCTCTCAAGTTTTAAGGAAAAACTAATACCAATATGAATCAGTGGTTAAGAACCCCTGGGTTTAATCCCAGTTTAAAAAAAAAATGTGGACAGGAAGAAAAAGTGTTGGTTCCAGACAACAAAACTTTCTAGGTAGAAAGATCTATAACTTTGCTGATTTATTTTTCAGGATCCATAGGATATAAAATCAAAATCCAAAAATCAATTTTATTCCTATATTTTAGAAATATGAATATTAAAATACCACTTAAAAGAGCATCAAAAATATGAAATAGGGGAAATTTTTCAAGAACTATACACTGAAATCTAAAACTTGCTAAGAGAAATTAATGGAGAACTAAATAACATGGCAACATATGCCTTGTCCCAAACTAGAAGACTGGCCCAAGTCCCATAGATTCAGTACAGTCCAATCACAATCTCTGCAGGCTTCTCTCAGTAGAAATAGACACACTACATCCTGACGTCTACATAGAAATGCAAACCAGCTAGACGAGATTACACAATTTTGAAAAAGGATAATGGCAAAATTCTACCTAATCTCAAGTCTTATAGAGCCATGGTAATCAAGATAGACACAGATCAATGAAATAAAGGAAAGTTCTGAAACAGATCCATGTATATACGCCCACTCAATTTTTGCCAAAGTTGCCAACATAGTCCAGTGTGGGAAAAGTACAGTTTTTAAATGGTGTTAGCTCTAATAAAAATATGCCTTGATCTTTACCACATATCCTATATAAAAACAGATGAATTATAGAGATGCATGAAAGCTAAAACTATAAAATTCAAGGGAAGACAGTGAAAAATTTTAGTGACCTTGGAATTGGCAAAATTTAACTTTAGAAAAATTATACCAACTAAATTAATAAATCATTTAAAAAGCTTTAAAATCTTAAAACACTGCTGTAAGAAGAAAATGCCATTTCCTGGGAGAAAATATTTATAAAAGATCTGTGCTGGAAAATGAAATTATATTAATTACATTATACTGTATGCATGTATGAATATATAACAATGAATCCCACTACTGTGTATAATTATAAGGCACCAATAAGTTTTATATATAAATTTTTTTTCAAATAGTAACTTCTGGAAGTGGAGAGCGACTCACAATTTTAAATATCTGACAAAGCACATGCATCTACTACATGTATTTTTAAATGCCTACAATTCAAAAATGGAAGCAATATCTGACCATAAACTTCACCACCACAGTTAAATCAGCTCACAAAAAGATGCTTTACTCATTAGTCATAAGGGAAATATAAATTAAAATCTTTTAAGATGCTACTCTACACTCATTAGAATGGCTAAAATTAAACTGAGCATAGCAAGTGTTAGGGAGAACTCTGGATCACGCCCATACATCAATGGGAATAAAAAATGTTAATTTGGGACACAGTTTGACAATTTCTCAACTGACTTAGCCATTCCATTCCTTGCTATTTAACCAAGAAAAAAAATGAAAGGACATATCCCTAATAAAATACTTGTGCATAAATGTTTCTTTCTAGAACATGGAAGCAGATCTGTGTTGAGGCAAATAAAACTTCATTTCATCATCTATCAGTGTTTTCCTCAATAGAGTTTTGACAACTCACCGTTGATTTTGGAAACTTCCCAGTCATTTTTTAAGTTTTCACTGCCAAGGGCAAATGTAAACTGGGGACCCCGAAATGACTGCTGGTCATCATCAGTGGCCTCAAAAATGACACTTCCAGGTGCAGTGAGAGGATGGCAGATAAACAGGCCCGTGTAGTCCTTGGCGAGCCGTGGGGGGTTGTCATTCACGTCCATGAGAGTCAGGTGGAAATTCGATGTGGACTTCAAAGATGACCCGCCTGAGAAATTGAATGAGTGGAATATGGTATCAGCGTGCTCATTTTCTTCTCAGTAACAAAGAATATTTTTTAAAGGCATTTTTTAATGTCTAATGAGGTGTAGAAAGAAACTTTAAGTAGTAATAAAACCAAGCTTTTGATTCTAAAAGTTCTGTGCTGAATGTCACATTTCAAAATATATTTAAAAAAAAAAAACTGTACATTTACAGGTGAGAAGACTGAGGCTCAGAAGTTGTGTGGCTTACCCACAGCTCATGAGTGGTAGAAAGGCTTCCGATCCAGGAGTCTAATGCCCACAGCCTTTGACTCCTTAGCACTACTTTAGGCATAAAAGTCCAGTTTTCTAAGCCTCAATTCTTCCACTGAGAACCATGTAGCTTTGTGAGAATCTCACGTGTGCGTGAATGTTCTAGAACATAGTAAAGTCTACACAAATATTTATCATGCTATAGAGATGAAAAACATGTCCTCTGCTGCAGGGCCAGTGGGTAGCTGTGTGATCTTGGTTAAGCTTTTTGATTTCTCAGTGCATTGGTCTCCTTGGCCATGAAACGTGGTCCCCTGTAGAACCTTCCAATGTGTCACATGAGGAGTAAGTTGTTATGCTAAGTGCGTGGAAAGGGACAATGGGTGCAATGTAAACATCGACCATCTTTTCCCTGCCATCAAACAAGATTCCACAGTTTCCCTCTGCTTCAGTTCCAGTAAGCCCTGTTTTCTTGCCCCTTCTCCGATTCCAGGAAAGCCTGTTTTCTAGCTTCTCGACTGTCTTCTACACCCTGGCTGCTCTGCACCAGAGAAAAATCCCCTGGTGTTCTTGAAGTCATTTTGTCTGTTTACTTTGTTTCAGTGCCAACAACTGAAAATGGAACGGGGTTTTGGACTGTGGTCTTGAATCCTGAGACTTATAAAATGTGAGAAGCCCTTCGGACACATAGAAGTGAAGTGTTGATCCCCAGGGCATGACGTAGGGGAGCATGAGGCAGAGGAGCTCCGCCAGAAACTTCCTGCTGATTAACGGGGAGCTTTTAAATCAAGAGTTAAATGTATACAATGTGATAGTGGAATGTGCTCAACCCGAGGCGACCGACAGGGCCCGTCCACTCGCACGTTGGTTCCAAAGTTGGCCCTCAGTTCTGCATCTCTGCCTGCTTCAGTTTAACTTGATTGCTGTGATTTTTTTCTTAATCTTTTCACCTATGTGGTCCATTTCTATGATTCCCTTCTCTGTTCCCCATTCCAGCCTCCAAACTCAAGCTTCACATTTTTTAAAATGTATTTACGGTCTAAAGCTATATTTAGTAGTAATTTGTTCAATTCTTTTTTTGGGAAGCCACATTGATATCTCTACTAGTTAATTACAGCATCTGATCTGCATAATTCCTACTGTACATTGGAAAAATTCATTTAAATGCACAGAAACTCCAATTTTAGTCACAAGTATACTATTTCTGTTTACTTTCATCTTGCTCTTGAAAAATCCCCTAGAATTCAACATTCAGAACCAGTGGGTGACACCTATCAACCACAACTGAATTAAATGGATGCAAAGATCATGTAGAGATGGCTCAAGCATCCTGAGCATATCTGTGCAAAGTCTTCTCTCAAAAGTTCACCCTGTTTCATCACAACAGATACCCTGGCCTCCCCCAACCTACTGAAGCAGAATCTCCAAAGGTGGACTCCTGGCTCTCCATTGCCAAGCTTGCCTGGTAATTCTGATGCATACCAAAGCAGAAAGAATTCCAGAAAACATTAGAAGCAGAATTTCACAAAGGGTAAAACCTGAGGAGCTACAGTGTGAGCCTCAAGGACAAGTCAGAGGACTACTGGTCTGACTTGGCTCCCAGGAGACATCTACAACTACTTCTTTGGAGGAGGCAGCCAGGAGCCCCCAAAGAGAAAGCAACATCCCTGAAGCCCGGCCAGCTGTCAGGGACACAGCTTGTTTCTGCCTTTAACAAAACCAAACAAGGGGGAGTGCTCCTACGCTTTGTCCCCTTCTAGTTGTTCCAGTATGGTGGTTTGACCTTGAGTTTTTCACTCTCTTCAGTTTTATTACTTATTTCTATTGATGCATCCCGTCCCCCCCCCCACCCGATTTATTTTGCTTACCTACTTCAGTGGCCACGACTTGTACCTGATACACACTTTCCGCTTCCCTGTCCAGCGGAGCCACACTAAAGATCTCACCAGTGACGGGGTCAATTTTAAGCCAACCTCTTGTGTCGCCGCTCAGTGAATATCTTCATAAAATGAACAGAGCAGAAAGCCGCATGACTATGCGTGAAAAGAAAGTTTGCACACTGCCACACTATGTCTACATTATCACTAGTATATTTACACCATTAAAAGACTCGTTATCTTTTCAATTGCAATATCACATCTTTCAAAGGATTTGCTCATCCTTGCAAAGTGGCGTTTGCTTTTTAGGAAAGGTCTAGTTGCAAGTGTGATAAAAACATTTTATACATTCCTGGTAATCAAAGAACACAAATTAAAGCAATCTAGAAGCATATTTTAAAATCTCTCAGCAAATTGCCCCCTCTAAGGAAACCCGAGCACCCAGTGATGGAGACATTGGGTAAGATGGGTAGATAATCATAGACTGCTGTTGACACCATGAATCCCTCATTCAAGAATCATCAGTTGAGAGCTTACCATCAGGCAGCACACCAATAGAGGGTTTATGCCAGTGGAGGAGGCTGACACAGAAACAGATAATTACCAAAAAGTGTGGTAAATACAATAGAAGGGGTCCACTGGCATCTCAGGAAAATTTATGGCAATCTGAGAAGTCTTCTCTGAAGGTGATATTAAGACGGGCAAGAAGGGTGCTTCAAGCAGGACAGGTTGCACAAGCTAGAGCAGAGAGGCCAAGGATAGCTTGCTGTGAGAGACACAACAGCAGTGCTGGAATACACACTGAAGCAGGGGATGGAAAGAGATGAGGTCACAGATTTGAAGGTTGTCCCAGAGGGAGGGGAGGGCGACCATCCTATGGTGGTAAGTGGAAATGGAACCCATTGGGAGAGGTATGAAAGACGAATTTGCGAGACAAGCCCCGAATCACAGGAAGACCAATGAGTACAACACATCAAATCCATAGAGATGTGCATATATTTAGACCAAATACTCTCTCTCTCCTGGAACATTTACCTAAACATATGATAGAAGTTAAAAAATTAAATGCTCACATATATTCAAGATATTTTCTATGATGAAAAATGCAGAAAACGGCCAACTTGTCCAGGAATTAAATAATGATCAAAATTCTGCTTAAATTTTTCCCTTTTAAGTATACTGTATAGGCCAACCACAGTTACATGGGTGCTGAACAAGAAATCCTCTGTATTTGGATTTCACTGTGAAAGAAGTGAGAACTTTTCTGAGGGCTTGGAAAGAGGAGTTGGGTGATTTGGCTTGCTTTTTAAAACATATTAGTTATGCATGATATTATATATATAAAATGTCAAAACTCATTCTGCTGGTAGAACTGAAAATTGGTACAACCACTATGGAAATCAGTATAGAGACTCTCCAGAAAACTTGGAATGGCTTGCTTTCTTTAAAAGCTCACTGTGACTACAGAATAGTTAATTGCCTCAGTACAGTACAGAGCAGTATGGTAGGAGCAAGGGTGGCTTCAGAGCTGAGAGGTAAGTGGCTTGGTACATGTCAGAGGGAGTGAGAATCATTAGGATTCTGGGTATATTTCAACAAAAGAATCTATTACATTTGCTGATGGATTCTAAAATGTATGGAGCTGGAGAATTAAATTATCCAAGCAAAAACTTGAGGCATCCCTCATTCTCTACTAACTTATTACTTGCATCTGAACTGACTGATCATTCCTAAGATACTCTTTTCATTTGTCCTTCAGGACCATGTCTTGCCCCGTTTCCCTCACTGACCTCAACTACAACTTCCTGGTATGTAGATGCTTTCCCTGATCCATCAAAGAAATGTTCTTAGTTGTTTTCATTTTTCCCCCCTTAAAAACTAAAATTTTTGTTCACTCGTTTTGGACCAACGATTTTTATAGCATTTTCAGGAAGGAGGTAGAAGCATTTGTTAGACAATACATGGCTGTATAATTTATAAATTTTTCTCCCCAGCATAATCTGTGACTGATATAAAGCACAGTATCTAGTAGAACCTGTTTCTTTTTCTCTTTACAAAACTGGAGAAGTAGAGAGTAAAACGGCAGATGCTAACTTTTCTCCTAGCTTTGGTTTGAGTTTGTCCCCCAAGGGTTCATGTATTGGGAGGTAGGGACTTTGGTAAGTGGGGCAGAGTGAGAGATCATGGGTCAACTGGCGAGTGCCCTCAGAAGGGATTGTGGAACCCCATCTATCCAGCTTCCTACCAGGCAATATGATGTCTTCCCCTCGCACAGGCTCCTGAGATGTGATATCATCCATGAAGTTAGCCTGCCTCAGGTATTTGGTTCTGGTAATAAAAAATGAACTAATATATGCCATGACTGATAATCCAAAAAGATATCAAAATTCATTCTAAATACCTAAAGGACAACTCAGTGGAATGAATGATTACCCTCAGAAGTTTAGAGAAACATGGGAAATTGTCATTTTATAACCACATGCATATTAAGTCACACTAGTGGCAAAACAAACACTTATTATGCCCTAGATACAGAAAATGTCATACAATAGAAGCAGAAGATCCAAGTTCAAGACCTATCCATAAGCTTAACTGTACGATATTAAAGACTGTACCATTTAGTTATGGATATACGTACATATCTTAAAAATGTGCAATGATCATTTGCTCAAGACAAATCCATACGAGTCCTATTCCACTTTAAAAAAATGACTGAGCATTACTAAGATGGAAATTGTAATACATTTTGTTTAGCCACCTCACCTTGAGCATTGGCTCCTCCATGGGTAGGGTGTGGAATGAGTCTTGCTGCCTAGACAAGGTCTCTGGAAAGCCTAAGAATGTAAGCATCCTACAACCAGAAGATTCTCTTAACTACTTACAGTGGCGCTTCCTATTTGGCGCTGGAACCTCTTCCCAGCCTCTATGACTGGCTTAGACACAGGGCCTGGCTCTGGCTCACCCAGTGTGTAGGAGGTGAAGTCCACGTCTTCCACTCACCAGCCCTTGGCTGGAGCCAAACCTGTTATTTGCCTAGTCAAGGCCACAGACCTGCCTCTGGCTGCTGGGTCAGGAGACAGCCCTGGAGCCAGTGCACCCTCCCCTCCCTCCCTCATCCCCTTTGGCTGTGGTTGCCCCAGGCCATAAGGACACCCAGCCCTAGTTTGTACCTGATGTGCAGACCCTCAGGATCCCTGGCAGTCACGTTGCCCACTTTAGTGTTAATGGCAACATCCTCTCTGACTTTTGCTTGGAATACATCCTGGGAAAATACAGGTGCTTCATTCACATCTGTTAAAATAAGCTTCAACGAGGCAAAAGAGCTTGCGTTGTACGTCACACCAGATACAAGAGGCTCAGGGTTTTCTGCTTTGAACACAATGTTGGAGAAGGCTGCCGTTTCAAAATCAAGAGGCTGTAGAGAGAGAAAAAAGAGGGGTTATATTCCATACCTTAAAAGGATCATTTCCTCTAAACCTTTAAAAATCTCATACAGAGTGGTAGTTCTTTAATCCAGCATCAGTTGTTCTGCCTCTCAGAATAGCAGAACCATGAAGAAGTCTTACCTGCAGAGTTTCCAATATGCTAACGTGCATTGTGACTTTCCTCAAATGCACTCAGCCCTGGGGGACTTCATTCATTCACCAGAAACTTATTGATTTTTCTCAAGACAGTTCTAAGAGGATGGTTTGTAAAATTTAGCAGGTAGGATTACCAACAGTAAAAAGAGCTGCAAATGGTAAGTTCCCCGCTCTGGAAGTTTCCAGGCACAGGCTTAACAACATGTGGCAGTTAGCACAGAAGAGAAAAAAGAAAGTTATCATATAAGCAGATAGTTCTATGGGACCTGTATGGTCTCTCTCAAAGCAGGGCCTCCAAGAACCTATAGGGGAATTCTCCTGCCAAGAATAGACAACCCCAGCTGAGGTTGTTGAACCCCCTTGGAACTAAAATCTTAATATTTTTCTATAATGTATGTGTGTCTTTTGGGGGGAGGAGGAACTTTATCAGATTCTCAAAGGGACCCCAAAGTATGAAGGAACCAATGTCCAACAGATCCATCTTGGGTAATGGAAACTGCACTACACTATTCACTTTTCCAAGATTTCTTGGTGAACTGACCCTTAAACCTTAATTTTTAACTTTTAGTTTTTAACATGTGCAATATCTTTTCATGAAGAGAAAAACTGAAGTGGGATGGCATTGGCCAGCTGCCCTTCCAAACAGCTGAAGCTATTCTTCCCCTCCACCAGGGTTTGGCTCAATGGTGTCCTCTTCATGTCTTCCCTGATTCCTACCCTCTAACTGTACCTAAACCAGGACTCGAATGGTTAGTGAGGATCCAAAAACACTAAACAGTTCCCTAAGAGGAAGAATTATGTTCCTCCTCACTTCCCACCTCGTCCCTGACTTGCAGTAGCCTTATTATGTAGGTCAGGAGATGCAGTGAGAAGAAAGGTTTGGGCCTTGAGGGCTCCAATGGAGAGGAGACTCTGGAGGCCATTCCCACCTTCTAGAAACCCTTCTCCCCATGCACAACTATGCCTTAGTTTAGAGCAATGAGAAGACTGTCTTGTGAAAGAGGAAGAATTATGTAACTCATAGTCATTTGAGATAGAAAAAGCACTGACATTTTTTAATTGATATAAAATTCTATAAGCCATTCAGGGTGTAAAAGGGGTTGTTCCTAGAAATAAGCACCTACTATCTGCAAAGAATGGCCCCTTGGTGACCTCTGGATCACTGCACGTATCCGGTGGAGCCCTCACTTAGAGGCCCATGATCTCCCCATCTCAGGGAATGATGCTAATGGTATCCAACTGAAATATAGCCCTGGTAGACCCAGAAGGAAGGTCCCAAAGTCAAGACTAAAGGATAAAAATAGATGGGACTTGAAATTCATCAACCACTACCATGTGGGCTAAGGACACTCTTTGTTCCTTATGGGTACAGTCAAGCCCAGTCTCAGGCAGGTGGCAGAGGAGGCCTGTCCATCCTCACCACCCAAGGGATCTTGAATCTCCCGACTGGCTTTTCCATACCATCTCTATAGTCCAAGAGGCAAAGGGATAAAGAAATGAGGAAAGTATTTCTGCAAGTGGGAAGCAGCCAGTTACCAGAATAGAATGTGTGAGACTGAGAGGAGACAGAGATGGCTGTGTACATCAAGGCAAAGAGCTGGGCCTTTGATTGTCAAGGTCAGATTCCTGTCTTAGAAAGATGGCTCCAGGAACAATGCATGAGGGCTGGGTTCAAACCAGGGAATGGACAAGAGTCAGGAGACAGTATCAGTGCCCCTTACACATTTAAGGAATGGGAGGAACTAATGACAAAGGAGCAGCCTGACACTGGGTATTCCATCTGCTTTACTTCCACACTTGAATAACACCCAACCAAATCTGCCAGGGAAAGAATTAGAAACGAAAGGTACTAAATTAGCAAATGATAATTCAGCAAAGCGAAATCAAGGCCCAGTCTCATCAAGCCACACTATGGCCTTTCATGATGGGGGGTGTGCGGCAAAGTCACGATAAGAGACCATCACAGCTTCTTGGGATGCACCCATCGGGTAAACTACTAAAACACCTGCTCCTGTCACAATGTGCCTGAGGGGTCAAGCCAGTGATTTAGATGCAACATGGAAAGAAAGGGCTGAGGAAGAAGAGCCAAGATGGGAGATATTTAACATTTTCACCCAAGGAGGGAGATGAGAAAGCGAGCACATGAGGTGACACTGGAACTGGTTAAAAAAATAGTCATGAATCAAGAATTCAAAAGTACCAGCCACAATGGAGCAGGGACAAAATTTGCATTTTAAAAATTCAAAGCAAAACCCTGAGTTTCAAGGAAGGGGGTCCTAGAAGAGGTATGAGGACCCAGGCAGGGCTCAAAGAAATGTCCTTCCTGATCAACGCCTGCTTAGCCCCAGAGCCATGAATTTCTGCAACTTGCTTAATCTGAAGAATCGCATTGTCAATACTCTTGGTTTCCAGGCTTTTCCCTGGAGAGGCTGAAACAGCAGTCCCTGGCATGCCCTTCAACTCTTAAATCAGGCAAGTTTGGTCCCCTTAGGCAAGAGGGAAAGCACACCTGTCAACAGATTCCCAGCTCTATTCAATCAGAATTAAGGTAGTGCCAGACATTTATACAGTTGGCTACATGCAGGATGCTGTGTGAAAAGCTCTCTATGTATTTTCACACTTCATTCTACAATATCCTTATGAGGATGGTGCTACCATTTTACTAGAATGGAAAACTAGAGGCCTGCTAGTTACATCGTTTGGTCAAGGTCACAGAGCTAGTAAATGGCAATGCCAGGCCTTGCAGAAATGGTTTCCTGAGAGGACTCAGAAGCCCAAGGTCAAATTCCCAGCTCTGCCATTATGGGAAATCCTGACATCATATTACTGTGAACTTGTCTATACAACAGGGCTTACTCCTGCCTCCCTCCATAAGAGGCAGGGTGAGAAGTACAGGGGACAGGATCCTTCATGAAGGAAAATGATGGAAGTTGTCAGGCATGAATTCCTCAGTGAAATTTCCTTGTAATTCAGAGAAGAAAAATCTCCCCCAGGATAGAGCTCTCTAGGGATTAAGGTAAGATAGTGAGCTGCCCACCTGTAATTCAGATAATAGAATTCTGCCTTGATAGGTTTCTTAATCATAATTCTGAGAACTGGGGACATCTCAGTGACACAATGTTTGTCTAGCATGTGTGTTCGTAGTGCCTTGATGACTTCATAGGGACTCAGAAATAAGACTTAAGGCCTCCTTAAGAAACCACATTATGGAGTCTTTAATTTAAAATACTTTGGCAAAAACAGTAGGAACACCCATATTAGTCACTTTTTTCTGCATTCTGTGGGCTGACATGTGGTATCTCCCGATCTAGAATCCACACCTGAGGATTAGTTTTTACTCAGCATTGGAAACATCTTAATTTGAGGTCCATACCCCAGAGATAGCTACTACAGTCCTCCAGCTAGCACCACCTCAATCAGCACTGGAAGTCTTGTTAATTTGCAAAGTGATCTTACAAGAGATTTTCTTAGTGATACTTTTGCTATTAAAGATCCTTAGTCTGGCTGAGCATGGTAGCATATGCCTGTAATCCTAGCAACTCATGAGGCTGAGGCAGGAGGATCACAAGTTCAAGGCCAGCCTCAGCAACTCAGTGAAGTCCTAAGCAACGTAGTAAGGTCCTATGTTAAAAAAAAAAAAGTAAAAAGGACTGAGGATGTAAGCACCCATAGGTTCAATCCCTAGTACAAGAATAAAAATAATCCGAAATAAATTCTGAGTTTGGTTACAGAGACAGTCTCTCTTGGGACTGGGGCTATAGCCCAATGGTAGAGCAAGTGCTTAACATATGAGGTCCTGGGTTCGATCACTGGCACTGCTAAAAACAGCAACAAAAAAAACTTTCAAAGACTGCCTCTCTCTTGATCTTTGCCAACAAGTGCATACATCTTTGGCTGGCCCAGCAGCTTGTGCTGAACAGAGTTCCAGGGCTTTACTTGTGTTCAAGATCATCATCTTTGCATGGTCAGACAACTCCTACTGCCCGAGTACTGTTATCACAGTGTCCAAAGGACAGAAAGCCTGGACTTCTGAAGCCCAAACCACAGGTTTTGTGATGTGACTGTTAATTATATACAGGAAAGATTTCAATTGCTCCTTCAGTTAAGCAAAATTTATTGAACTGCACTATATGCCAGGCAATATTCTAAACATTTGAAATACAACCACATACAGAATAAGGATGTTTGGTCAGAGGCCTGCTCTACTATAATAAACCAGCTCATGTCAAGGCTGCATGGGAGGCTACCAAAGCTCTCACCTACCACAAATAATTGAGGTTATCAACTTCTCCCTAGAAGTTGCCCATTCACCAAAAGTAGCCAGATTAAGCCACCCTAAAAAATGCTGATAATGTGGGAATCATTCTTGTTGAGATGGGTAGGTCTCTATCTTCCCTTAGATCACTAGAGAGCACTGGTCGTGGGGCAGAAAAGTTGCCCTTGTCCTGTATAAAAGAGGCACACCAACATGCTGCCTAGCCACCCACTCAGACACAGCCTTCTGCTTTCCTTCTGAGATTCTTTGTCTCCAAACAGACAACCATGAATAGAAGAAGAGAACGTAATGGCGTCTTTTTCAATGTCGGCCTTTCACAGAATGCTTGACTTCCACTAATCCAAACACAGACCTCTCCGCTGAAACCCAGTGCAGCCTTTGTCAGAGGAGAGACATATGACAACAATGTCATCTGTATTCTGAGATGCAGTCCCAGGCTCGATTCAGCACTAGCACTTTTCCCCCTTTGCTTCAGTTCATTTTCTATGAAATTATTTCATTTAGTCTTTATTATTAGCCTCAACTTGCAGTTTTCCTTTATTCTGGCTCAAAACTGTCCTCTAGAACCTTCCTTTACAGCCTCCAGCCAGCCACTCTTGCACATTCTCTATTGCTCTACCTCTGGGCCTTTTTAATTATAAGTATTCTCTGTCTCCCCAAGGAAGGCCTTAAATATACTGGATGACAGAGTGCTACTGACAAATGAGTCATCTCGTGAACCCGTCACGTAGACTAAGGAGGAGAGGAATGACTCTGCCAAGAGTCCACCACCATGCCTGAGAGGTCACTGCAAATGTGTCCCCTTTGCTGATGTCTTCACACAATCATAAGTAAATTAACACCAAAAAGACAAATGCATTAAATGGCCATTTACCTTTTTGATTGTGACATATCCTCTATTGGTTTGGGGGTCTGTGTCAACCCCCAGTCTTCCTTCACTGTCTCCTTGTATAATCCGATACAGGATTTTAGAACTTCCAGTAAAGGGCTCATCAGCATCAGTGGCTTGAATGGTTAGAATGATTGTCCCAACCGCTGTGTCTTCAGGGAGAGTCAGATTTCCATACTGTAGAGGAAGCACATAATGAGAATGTCCTTGGCCATCAAGCATAGTTGCCCAAGGGCAAACTTGTCCCTGATTTCAGAATGGACACAAGTCATAATTTGTACTGACATTTACCAACCATGCTTTTCCTATTGATGAATATGTTGTGGTTGATTTTAACAGTCATATTCATGAACCAATAACCATGGTACAGAGTACATTTCAGAGACCCACTGGCAGGATTCCCAGACAGAATCTCACTCTGATACCCAATATGTTGAATAACTGTCATGATATTTTAATAGCAATAATAAATGGCTACAATATCGAGTACCTACAATGTGACAGGCACTCTGCATCTATTAATTTTGTTCATTAATTTATTTTAATGTATTTCATACATTGTTTGTTCTTAATCAAGGAGTAGAGCTTAAGAGCTTGAACATAGGAGTCGACATTGGGTAAACTTGCCATTTGTTAACTGAATGACCTGAAGCAAGTTACCTCCCTTGAGTGTCAATTTGATCATAAGTTTCATGGGGACAGTAATAGAATCTGCATCATGCTTGCTGTAGGGATTAAGAAAGATAATAATGCATCTAAAGCCACTGAATATCTGGTACATAAGTAGGGCCTGATAGATGTAAGAAAGGTAGCTACGTTATCTCCCTTTGACAGAGGAGCAAAGGATTGGACAGGTTAAACCCACCCAAGATCACACAGCTAGCGAGTCCCAGAATCAGGATTCAAACCCATGTGCCTCCAACTCCAAAGACGATGCTGTTAGTCACTGGTGTGAACCATTTCCTAAGTCCCCTGAAACTTCCCCAGATCATCTCTCCTGATCTTAAAGACGTAACTGGGAGGACCACCACAATGAAGGAAGCATATTCTCTCCCCATAGCCAGATCTGCATTTCTAAGCTTCTGAGATTTTTACCTTCAATCTAAATAATATTGTCTACATGAAATGCAGAAAAATCACAATATTGGGAAAGGAAAAATTGCTCAAAAAATGGAGCCTGAGAAAAAAACCCGTTCTTTATTTTACACTTGCTTAACCTTGCCTCTTAGACGAGTTCAGTCACATCTCTTACCATTCCAACCCCCCATCACACACCAGTCCCCTTCTTTGCCACAGCCTTGTCCCCATTTTGATTTATGAACATCATGAGAAGGCTCTGGGCCACCTCATAACTGTCTTCAAACATGACATAACAATCTAGCCAAATGGGCATCTCTATCCTTCAAAATAAACAGACATTCCTTTGAAGGGAAGCAGTGGGAAAATCAAAAGCAAGTCTCATGCCTGTATTAATGACAAGAAACAGTGATTTGCATTTTTCTTGATGTCTATATTGAGCTTTTCTTCTTTATGCCCAATTCTCCTAACTCTTGCAAATATCGAGCACATCTTTTTCTTCCATTTAATCCAGAGATTCAATTCTTCTTTTCTCTTACCCAAATATTGCAAAGTGAGTTAAGTCAATAGTATTCCAAAAATTAAATTTTTTGACTCAAAAATCAAAAATTTTGGCTTGGTTGAGAACTTCCAATAATCTACTAATTGTCCAGTGCGCGCACACACAAAATCTACAATAAACAGCAAACAACCACTCAATTCCTATCAGTTTGACAAAGATTGTGGTTGTAGTTTTTAAGCAACAATGAATCAATGAACTGTTGGCTGGAGTTTATAAACATTCGTTCCCAGATCCTGTAGCAATGAATGTTATTGTTCCCTGAAGATTTCCACTAAAGATGGTGCCTGTGTTTATTACTGGTTCATTGACCAAGGCTACCTGTCAGGTCTGATATGTTCCTTAACTAGTATCTGTGCTTCTATCCCAGTAGTTAGGATTTAGTAACATGAACAAAGCAAAGAAAAAACAAATGGTCTCAACTACTCACATCTGACTTTTCAAAGATGGGAATCTGATCGTTGATATCAATGACATGGATTTGCACAAAACAGGAGGTCTTGAAATCTGAAAAACAGTCGTATCACAGAAATTTTCATTGCAAATCATGCATTAAAATCAGAAACCTATAAGGAAAAATTGGCAAGAGACGTGACAACTGTAGCCAAAATTTCACAACTGACATGCAATTTGTGTGGAAAGAGGATGCTCTCTCTGTTCCCCACCTGCACCCGCAGGCATGGGAGGTGTGCGCTGAAGAAAGACCAAACAGAAGTTCTCCATCGCCTTCCACCTGCTCTCACCCTAGGGAGGGCTTGTCCCTGAGGAGGATGGTTCTTTCTGGGAAGAGCAGCTTCCCTTTTCTGACTAGTGAAATATAAGCCGTCTTCAGTGTCCTGTGTAAAACTCTCATTCCAGAAAGCCTTCTTGAAGCAGTTCTGAGCTACGTCAGCTCTGTCCCCTGGGATGGGAGATTCAAGGGCACCAACTCCCTCCCCTCCAAGTCAGGGAGAAAGTGGTACAATTATCCAAAGGAAGCTATGAGATAACTTGTGGAACCCTGAGGAAATGGCACAGGCTTTGAGGGGTGGAGCTGACAAGCCAAAGACCCAGTCAGACAGCAGGTTGATCCTAGATCCAAAATCATCATGCAGTGAAGGTAGGGATGGGATACCCAAGGAGGGAGCCAGAAGGAGAAGCAAAATGACAGGTTCTTCCTAGGGGCTGCAATCCCAGCATACCATATTGGATAATGGTTAAGCCTCTGGTTCTGTGATCCCACTTATCAGAGGTTTGAATGTGGGTGTGTCTCTGTGCCTCAGCTTATCTACCCAAGGTGGATAAGCACAGAATGGAGGTTCTCGTCACAATACAAATTGTTAGTGACATCCCTGTACCAGGCACCATGTTAAGTGTCTGCTTTACCCATTTCATCTTTACAATAACTTCATGATGGAGTTGCTGTGATCATTCTCATTTAAAAATGGAGGAAGCCAAGGGATATAGAAATGAGGAAACCCTCCAAAGGCCACACAACTAACTAGTGGTGGGGCCAGGATTCAAATCCACATGCTGCTTTTGTCCTCCCCATGCACTGCCTGCTCTGAGCCCCCAGGGCTGACTTATCAACCATCAGTGGATGTCACTGCCCTACGGGTAACAGTTGGGTTCTGCCAATGGGAGCCCCCAAAGGACTGGGGGGAAGGGGCAGGAGGAAAGTGACTGAGGTGTCCCTCTTTCCTGGCTACCAACTAAGGTCTTGCGCTCCTAGGGAAAGCTTCCTCCCTTCACCCCTAACGCTTCAAATCAGTCAAAGCCTCCTTCCCACCTCCTATTGGTTTCCCTTAGCCCTGTCCATGACCTTTATAAATAATCCTTGTTTAAAATGTTTGGTTACTCCTTTTGAAAAGGCCATCCATTTTCTGCTCGGATCTTGACTAAACTACACAGGTGGTCTAACTCTAGAGTTTGCACTCCATGCACTGGAACAGGATGCCAGGAGTACTTTAATAATAATCATAAGACGACCAATATCAATTAAAGTTGGGGCCAGTTCCCCAACATTGGCCCCTCCAAGGCCCTGAACTTGCTGGCCCACTGACTTTGCAAAACCTTTCTTTGGGCCAGCAGTGGGTCTTCCACTTAATGGCCCTGCTGGATCAATGTAAAACTATGTTAATTATAGCCTCAGATAATTATCTATAGTACACAATTGAGCATTAATTCCATCAATACACATACTTACATATAAATATATTATAATCTGGTCCATGTTTTCTCTAGATGTACTCATGCACACAAATAAATTTATAACTTGATTTCTACTTTATACTCCAATAATCTCAAACTACCTGATGTCTTTGCATGTGGAATCCCCACTCCTCGGTAAGTCTTACACATCTTTATAACTTGTCATATCCTTCAAAACTTAGCTCAATAATACTCTTGCAGAAAAGTTCTGCTCTCTCCCTCCACTTAGTCACTCCTCTGTGAGCTGTCTTATATATTCCTTATGATTGATTGATTCATATATCCATCTTCTCTCCCAGAATGAGCCTTCCTTGAGGACACTGGATCTACTTTAGCTGTGTCTCTCAATACCTTGACCAATACCTCAAATAAGGTAAATGATAACTGCTGAAAGAATGAATAATAGTGTAAAATTGTCACTTCTTCATTGAGACGGATGGTTTACTGTACTGATTTCTGTTGTACTTCTTAACATAGTGCTAAACAAATATTTGACCTTCAGTACTTGCCAATTTACTGGGTTTCAAACATTCTGCACTGGGAACCTACACATCTCTTCCAGTACATCAACTTCCATGGAAAGGAGAGAGATGTGAAGTGCAGAGTGGAACAATGCTCTTTTTTTTCCCTCCTTATTTATATAACCAGTGCTGCCTAGCAGCATAATAATTACTAAATTCCTTGGCAATCTAAAATTCAGTGCTAATTAACTCAAAGAAGGATTTTTAACCTCCTAGAAGTCTGAGTATCCCAGAAATGAGTCTCTGAATAAGTATTTCTGCATTTGCACACAATTGTTTGAGAATGCAGTTTTCATCAGATCCTCAGAAGGCCTTGTGACCCAGGTATTAAGAACCACTTGTTTTGAAAGTGTACAAAGAGCAGGGAAGAAAGTCTCCTGACACTGTCAAATGACCAACTAGAAGCTAGCAGGAGAAGATAGTACCTCTCACTTTTATCCCAGAGCCCATGGAGTCTGAAGGCAAGAACTAGAAAATACAATTAATTTCCTGTTATCATGGTGGCTGTAAAAATGTACCTGACAGAACTTCCAATGACTAGGATATTGATTGACGATTACCCCGCTGGTAGGCTACAAAATCCAACACTATATTTGTAACAAGGCCTCATTACCTACAGGCTGCCCCACCAGTTATTAAGCAAGGCAGTGATATGAGGATGGGCTCATTTTTAGAGATAATGTACTTTGGAATCCCAGGGTGTTCCCAGTCTTCCTCCCCTGTCTCCTTCATTCAGAGTCAGGTTTATATTGCAATCTGCTGGCTTTCCCAGATTTCTGAGTCTCCCTTTCTATTTCTTCTCAAAGGCATCCCCTTCAGGATGTACATTTAGCCCCATCTTGGTGTCTGCTTCTTGGAGGATGCAGAACAACACAACAATGTTGCCTGAGCTAGAGCTCTGGCCTTTATGAAAACACCCGCCTCTGTGTTGCACGATTTCACAAAGGAAGCAAAGAATTCTTAAATGGCATCCTTCTGTAACATACCCAGGCACTGGAGCCACCCAACAAATCAGAACTGGAAAGAAGGCAGGTATTTGTACACATGACAGCAGATGGATACTCACCTGGGTCGGACACCTCCACTGTTAGGTTGTACTGAGGAGTATCTTGCTTCTTCAAAGCCTGTCTAGCTAACTGGAGCTTTCCCGTATATTCCTCAACCAGGAAGAGTCCATCTGTGGGAATTTGTGGGGTTTGTGCCACAATTTTATACTTTAAAATACTATTGATAGTGTTCTTTTCATCCATGTCATTGGCAGTAAAGGTCCCAATGCTGCTTCCTATGGAGAAGAGAAGGAAGAAATCCATTCACACTGACTCCATGGATTCTACTTAAAAATGGTTTCGCAGGATAAGCAGGTTCCTAGAAAACACTGTAAATGATTTTTGGTATAAAGACAAGGATTTTAGGTTTATTTTGGTTCCTTAACCCTTCCCATAGTATAGTGTGTTGAACACTTTAATTATCAGTTAGCCAGGGCTGCCATTAACTGCCATGGGCTAGATGTCTTAAAAGAAATTTATTTTCTCTCACTCCTGGAAGTTTGAGTTCAGGGATTTGACAAGATTGCTTTCTTCTGAGCCTCCTCTCTCCTTGACTTGTAAATGGCTTTTTTCTCTTCCCCCATGCATTCATATCATCTTCCCTCTGAACATCTCTGTCCTAATTTCTTACTATAACAACACCAGTCTTAGTGGATTAGGGCCCACCATAGGGACCTCCTTTTACCTTAATTCTCTTTAAATATTCTATCTCCAAGATTGAATGTGGTGGCACAAGCCTATAATCCTAGTGCCTGGGGAGTCTGAGATAGGAGGATCACAAGTTCAAGCCCGGCCTCAGCAACTTAGCAAGACCCTCAGGAACTTAAGGAGCCTGTCTCAAAATAAAAAAGGCTGTAGCTCAGTGGTAAAGTACCTTTGGGTCCATTCCCTAATCCCCCCCAAATAATAATTTTTAAAAAAAGAACCTATCTTCAAATATAACCCCATTCTGAAGCACTGGGCTTAGAACTTTACCATATGAATTTGGGGAGACAACTGCTGGCTCTCCCAGACTTCCGAGTCTCCCTCACCATTTCTTCAAGACATCCCCTTCAGGATGTACAGAAAGATAGCAGTAATAGTGTTCCACCCTCAAAATTAATGTCCTCCCCAAACCTCAGTACGGGACCTTATTTAGAAATAGGGTCATTGCTGATGTAACTAGTTAAGGATATTGAGATGAAATCATCCTGGATTCAGGGTAACTCATAGGCTGAAATCTTTCATTGCTGTTTAAGAAATTAAATTTTCTTCTTCTGTAATTAAACAAAAATGAGTGCTGAGGGAGAAGCCAGCAAGTCACCAGGAAAGCAGCCTCTGGGGCAATGGTGTGTGGTGACAGGAGTGGAGAGACCAAAAGGAAATGGTGAGAATGTCCAAAGGCACATGAGCCTCTGCCCACAGAGCAGCAGAGCCCCAGAAATGAGTCACAAGAGGCCACAGGGCTTTTAAGCCTCTGAAGCTTCCATGGCACAACAGGTCATAACATTCAAGACACATCTGCCTACTCAATGGGATCAACACTAATGGCAGGAATGAACAAGGTATGTCCCAGGACTCCCAGAAATCCTAACAGTCCCTCTGCCAGCCTCCCAAACTATCAGCTGCCTAGAGAAGGAGGCTCAAGAGTCAAATCCGATTCCCATTGATATTATTTACATTTATCTCAGGATACCTGACTTTGAGTGTAAGTATTTAAGTTTTTAGCAGACTTGATGAGATTTGGTCCTTTAAATTAATTGATTAGAGGTCAAATAAGATAATTTGTAGAAGAATCTTGCAAATGACACATCCTATGGATGTACACAGGACACTGGTAAGGTGGTAATGGCGACAGGGAGGCAGCAGTAATAGTAGATGGTAGTAATCATTAGTGGGGATGGTAGTCATAAAAGCTTCAACTTAAGAATACTCTCCGAACAATGCTTGATCTAAACTATTATGCCCATGTGACTCTCACAGTGCATTCAGCCTCTGTGCTGTGCCACAGCTGACCGCCAAATAAGTCTCCCCACCCACCATTTACCAGACAGAGGAGAAAGACGGCAGAGTTAACACAGGGCGGGCAGCTCTTACCCAGTCCTTCATTCTCCTGGATCTCAAATACAGTCACCGGAAATGGACATGTTGGTGGATTGTCATTAATATCTCTAACTTTCACATGAATTTCCAGTGGGAATGCAAGTGGTTTTCCGTTCTCATCCTTTGCAATGGCGTAAAAAGTATACTACAATAGGAAGGTCAGAATTATGACAAGACTCCCTCACTGTCCCCTCTAAGAAGAGAGAAAATAGCTGTTTCATTTCTATTTCATTGACCATCCCGCCCCACCCCCACTTATTTTCAATTTATTTAGAAATGAAGAGGAGGGAAAAAAATGGGTCAGATGTGCAGGGAATTTGTCAAGTTATTATGTCTTGAGAGCCAATAGTATGTCCAGGACACAGATTATTTTTTTTTTTTTTTAAGAAAAATGGATCTTGCTCCCAAGGGTAAGTGGACGCTGGACTCTGTCTTATCTGTGAAACTCTTCCCATTTTACTCACTGAATCCTTTTTTTCTCTGTCCAAGGGTTGAGTCACATAAATGTCTCCTTCTTGGTCAATTGAGAATGGGAATACTGGCAGCTTGTCTCTGTCAGATAAGGAATAGTGTGCACCTGGCTCATTCCACCGCACCTACAGGGCCCAAAGAGAATCGTGAGGAAGGACACACTGGACCAAGGGAACTTGAAAGGATATAAACAAATTTCTGGTTCTCAATTTCTGACAACTTTGTATATCAGTAGTTTCCTGTAGTAACCAATACCCATCTTTTCATTTTCAACCTAAAATAGGATAAAAAAAAAAAAAGCAATCCCGAGAATTTTTCTTCTCTAAAGCAATTCGTTATAAATCCCCAAAGAGTTTGTGGGTGGTTCCTTTTAGAAGTTAGACTATGGAGGTTTCACCTTCATGAAACATCAGTTTAAGAAACAGAAATGAACTTTGTAGTAGTTATCTGAGAATCACACCATGACCCATGATGAGCCTCTAAAACTCACCAAGGAAGATAAGTAATAGGAGACACTTTGAAATTAGTTAAGACAAATGATATGTAAAGGCACACTCCTCCCCTGACTATTTAGTCTTCAGGATTAGAGTGAACTGCCCACTGTAATTGTAATTAAAAATAAGTGGGGATGGGGCAGTTGTTCTGCAAACAACCTAACAAAAAATAAACAGACCAGTCTACTTGCTTATAGAAGAGCCTCACTTCAGATATTCTGCCGCTACTACTAATAATTATCAAGGCTTTACCACATAGCATGCACAATTCTAAATACTTTTATGTATATCTCATTTAATCTTCAAACATTCCTATGAAACAGGGGCCACTGATACACCTCATTTATAGATGAGTAAATTAGTGTGCAAAAAAATTAAGATTGTTCCCTTCCCCCCCACCCAGGGTCTTAGAGTCAGTTCAAATTTCGACATGAAACTCTTCTCTCAGACCAGCTTGGAAAACCATCAAGGAGACAAATTGATCTCTTGTTAGTTACTTAAGCCCCACCCAAGGTCTGTGCCAAAGACTATATTCCTAGCTCTAAAGGGAGTTCCTTTTATATCCTAAAAGTTCTTCCTATACTTTTTTCCTTGAGCTGTGCCTCTCTACTCTTCTTCATGGGGTTCAGAACACTCAAAGCACTTCTTCTGGGCCTGGAAACAGAGTGTGGCCCTCCAGAATTTCTTTTCTTTGGAAGCCCCAAGAGCAACTAAGTACATGAGTTCTTTTTAGCATTTATGAATCCTCATGGGAATAACTTAAATAATAAACAGACTTTAGGCCCCGAATCTGAAATCCTCTTGGTAATAAGTTCTGGCAAGCTTTTTAAGTTGGCAAAGTAGAATCCCTTTTGTTTTTTGCCCTCTGAGGTTAACAACAGTTAATTCAACATTCAATAAATAAAGTCCCTTTTAGGGAAGATAATAGAAATGATGAGATGGGCTATCCTATTTCAACCCCCTTAACAATAGTCTCATTTTTAAAAAAATCTTCAGGGAAGTACAGATGAGCACTTCTTCATAACATTGACATCTTTCATTTACTTTTATAAATACTACCTCAATGAATCTTTACAATATCCCCAAGAGGTGTTATTACCCCCATTTTATTGATGAGAAGTTGAGGGTTGGAAGAGCCCGACTTGTTCATGATTAGTCATTAAGGGAACAAGAACTTGGTTTCAGTCACCTGCTTCCAACTCCAGGGCTCTCCCAGGGCTCTCATGCCATGAACCTCCTGGGCTTCCAGAAAAGATCGGACATTGGTGGGATCCAGACTGGATTTCCAGGAACTGAGATAGGAGGGTCCCAGGGTAAGCACCCCTCCGTGGAGGTGGGAAGGAGGACCATGGAGCATTTGAATAGAAAGAAGCAGCAACAGGAGACAGAACAGGGAGTCTCCTAGGAGAAAGACTGCCTGCTATGACTCTGACCCTTGGCCAGTCCCGTCTGTGCCCCTCATCCTCTGATGAGGCTATTGGGTAAAGAATTTCCCATAAGATTCAACACCAGCTGTCTAAAAATATTTGCAATCCCAAATTCAAACCCTCTGCATGTGCATGATGTGTGTACCACATGGGACCTGCTCTAAGACAGCCCCCATATTCTGTACTAATGACAGGGAAGAATAAATAGCCCCAGTGTATTTTTTTTTAAGTGAGGGGGGAATGAAGTTCTCTCTGAAAGTCCAAATTTGTATTTGAATCCAAGTTTTCTACCCATGATGATAAACTCCAGAGGCCTGGGACCAGAAACTATGTGCTTTATGTGTTGTAAAAACATCTCTAAGAAGTGTATCCGTGAAGACCGTGGGGGTACGTAGGTTTCTACAAAGCAAGGATATTTATGTAGGAGGCGCTGGGTGTCCCTGGGATCTACCTGAGTGATTTTGAGGGGATGAGGAGCAGTCGAGTTTTCTTCAACCTCCACGGGTTCTGGTGCTTTCCAAATATTCTCCTTCACCTTAATGTCCACAGAGGCAGTATCACTGAAGGAATTCTCAGTCTGGCCTCCCATGTCCTGTACGGAGACCACCAGATTGTAGGAAGGATTCTTAACAGGATCCAGTTGCTGAGACCCTACAGGGGAGAAGAGTAGGGGAGAGAAGGAAATCTCTCTGAAGGTGACAGCCCCTTTCTCCGACTCAGGTCTGGTGAGAGCATCCCTTGACTTACCTTGTGGGGTAAGTGAGATTGCTCCCGTTTTGTTGTCGATCTGAAAGTACATGACATTGTTGACATTGGGAAGCTGAATGACAATTTGATAAAAAAGCTGGCCATTGGGAGTGGCTGGGTCATCCAAGTCTGTAGCATTGACAGACATGAAGGGTTTTCCTGTTGAACAAAACACACCCCGAAAAGATAAGTGAAACCCAAACCCATCGTAGCCATTTTTTTCCCCCTAAGAAGCAGAGACATGGGGAAAGGGGGCCATGATGCATATCCGTGGGGAAATGAATTTTTATTCTGCTCCCTTCCCCTAAGAGGGGTTTCTCAAAGTGTAGGTCAGGGAATTCTGGGAATCCAAGTCTATTTCAAGGATTCTGTGGCATTGAAACTCCTGCCTGTGTAAAAATCCATTCAAAGCACAAGATCAGTTGACGGATTTTAATGTAAAGGAGTACAGAGTACAAAAGAGTTTACTGATGTAGTTTCAGATCCTTCTTTGCAACTAATTTCTTTTCATAGCAGGTATTAAACCCAGAGGTACTTTACCACTGAGCTATCTCCCCAGCCCTTTTTAAAAATTTTAGGACAGGGTCTCCCTAAGTTGTTTAGGGCCTTGGTAAATTGCTGAGGCTGGCCTCAAACTTGTGATCCTCCTGCCTCAGCCTCCTGAGTCACTGGGATGACAGGCATGTGCCACTATGCCCAGCCACAACTAATCTTTAGGAAACCATCACTTCAAGTTTTGATACTTTACCAAAGAAGATCCACAGTTATCTGAAAATACTATTATAATATGCATCTCTTTCCCTACTACATATCTGTGCAAGACTAATTTTTTTTCATGTACTACTTCAACCAAAATAGCAGGTAGCAACAGAATGAATGTTGAAACAGCTATGATAACCCAATTGTTTTTGTTATTAATTCAACCATCAAAGAAATCTGCAAAGATCAAAACAATACCACTCCTCTTACTAAATTATTTTTGTCTTGAAAACATAGTTTTCATTAAAATGTTCCTTAATATTCCTTTAAATTATTTAGTAATTTTTTAAAAATCTAATACAGTAAATATTGATAGATGTAACCAGTGAAATTACTGGAATCACCTTGCAAGAACCAGTTTTGAACTTTCAAAAATTTTGTGAGTCAAAAAACTTCACTACACACACAAAAAAAAAGCCCAAGGAAATGAACAGACATTTCACAGAAAAAAACACAATCAACAAAGATGAAAAATGATAGTCATCTCTAGCAACTAGAGAAATGCAAATCAGAACTACTCTAAGATTTCATCTCACTCCAGTTAGAAGGGCAATTACCAAGAATACAATAAGTGTTGGCGAGGATGTGGGGAAAAGATACACTTATCCATTGCTGATGGGACTACAAATTGGTGCAACCACTCTGGAAAGCAGTGTGGAGACTCATCAGAAAATTTGGAAGGGAACCACCATTTGACCCAGCTATCCCATTCCTCAGTTTATACCCAAAGGACTTGAAATTGGCATTTACAGTTACAAAGCCACATCCATATTTATAGCAATTCAATTCACAATAGCTAAACTATGAAACCAACCTAGATGCCTATCAACAGATGAATGGATAAAGAAACTGTGGTACATATATGCAATGGAATATTACTCAGCCTTAAAAAAGAATGAAATTATTTCATTTGTAGGTAAATGGATGGACCTAGAGAAATCATACTAAATGAAATAAGCCACTCCCAAAAACCCAAAGGCCAGTTGCTTTCTCTGATAAGCAGATGCTGATCCATAGTGGGGGTAAGGGGGAGTAGGGAAGAATAAACTTTGTGCAGAGTGGAGTGAGGAGAGGGATAGGGCTATTGGGATAGGACGGACAGTAGAATGCAACAGACATTATTACCCTATATACCCTACCCCTGTGACTCTGTACCATGTACAGTCAGAGGAATGAGAAGTTATGCTCCATTTGTGTACAATGTGTCAAAATGCATTCTGCTGTCATATATAATTAGAACAAATTTTAAAATAAATAAAAAATTTTGTGAGTCAATTAGTAGCATCATTGGTAGATTGAGAGTTTTTATATCCTGGATATTGGCAAATGCCGCAAATCAGGGCTTTGTCCCCCAGAGAAACAGCTGTTAAATTCTGACCAAAACATTGGATTTAACCCACATGTCTAAATATTCATTGAAGACTTCAGAAAAATTCAAGAGAATATAGGAGTCCCAGGAACAAAAAATTTTGAGAACCACTTCTCTAGAAGATTTTATTATTAAAGAAAAAAAAATTAAGGTATGGAGAATTCTGAATGGCAGTCTATGGTATGCAAACTCAGAGATGCGGGACAGGGACTGTGAACTGCTCTATGTAAAAAAGTGGAAGGAACTTTGCTTCCCAAGTTATTAGTCGTAGGCACTGAAGACTGAGAAAAGGAAAAGATTAACATGAAGGTGGAATTGATGTGAGTCACAGCCAAGAGTCTGAGAACTTGGAAGTTCATCTTTGTTTTGTGCCCCGTTTTTGATGGATGTTACTTCACTGGTGCCTGCTGTATGCACTGATGCCTCTAGGGAGGGCTTCTGTGGAAATGAAGGGTAGAAGGTCAATGGAGCACAGAGGAAAAAATGAACCATCACTGGGACCCCACAGTGACTGTGATCATGGAGGTTCTTGGAGAATGGGTTCACTTCTCCAGATTGTTCTAGGGTGTTCTAGAACTCTAAAGTGTCTTCAAGTTCACCATAAAGCAGTGGTTCTACTCCCCTCCCCCAGGACATTTGGCACTGTCTAGAGACATTTTTATTGTCACAGCTTAGGGTGAAGGAGTGTTACTGGAATGTAGGGGGTAGATGTCACAGAGGCTACTAATCATCCTATGATGCACAGGATAGCCCCTGACCAAGAAAAAAAATACTTATCCAGTCCCAAAAGTCAGTAGTGCCAAGGACAGACGAGAAACCCTAGGATAATAAAACAACTCCTAAAAGATGACGTGAAATTTAAATAAGTCAGTAAGTGCTTAATGAATGTCGGCTGCAACTATTAGCTGCCTCCTCTACCTGACCCCTTATGTCTTTCCACAAACATCTCCGGGCTCCTGCCTGTTACCTGGGCGAGAGTTCTGCCTTACTGAGCCTTCATACTTTGACTGGAGAAACATGGGTCGGTTGTCGTTGATGTCCTTCACTTCTATGGTGATGGGGACTGGGCCCTCCACTGTAGCTCCTTGGGCATCCAGGGCTGAAATCTGATTTTGAGGAAAAGAAAGTCACCTTCATGAGACATCACATTACCTGTCCAAAAATCATTTGAAGGAAATTACAGTGGCCTGGTGAAAATAGGAAAGGAAGGACCCACAAAAACCCAAATTGATAGCTGCTAAAAGAGAGGTCCAGTTGGTTAAGCCTGGCTAATCTCAGAAGCCTTCTAGCAGTGGGGTGTGCTGGGCACTGACATACTCTGTTCTAAATGACTCCAAGTGGTGAAAGGAGAACCCTTTGAGCCTCTGAAGTGCACGTCTTCTTACAGAGCTGTTATGGTGGCCTCCAAAGCACAGCCATTTTAGAAGGTGCCCAGAGGAGGCTATGGGCTTGCTCTTTTTCCAGTTAACTTGCTGTCCTAGGTATTCAGATACCAACCATGAAAACTATGGTGGAAAGAGAAAGATCAGGGTCTTTGGAGACCCCGAGTTCCTTCTGCTTTCTCCAAGGCCAAAGGAGCTCCATCCCAGCATGGAGGCCGACTAAGCTGTGAGTCTAGGGCCCACCCAATAGCTGCAGGTAGACATCAGTGCAACACTGGCTTGGTTTGGGCCCCGGTGCCCGAACAGGGCCTTCATGAGGAGGTCATTTGAGGGTCTTAGCTACATAAATTGAGTTACTTTGGTCAACAAACTACTTCCGGTATAGTTGGTTAAAAAAAAAAAATGGTGATATGAGGTTCACAAAGTATGCTACTATCGTCAGAAGAGTTGTCACGGATGCAGGGATGAGGTACCAGTGAGATTCCCAGGATGAAGGGTGCTGCAGAGGTTAGAGTTAGAGCCCTTCATCTGGTCTCAGTTTACCTGGAGGTGGTGAGTAGCTCTCGTTTCCCTGTCCAGTGCTCTAACATAATACAGAAGTCCATCTGATTGTATCATAAATATGTTGTCCGTTTCCCCAGTTAGTTCAAAACTCACTGCAGGAGGATTGGCCTTAAACTGGAAGAAAGCAAAAACAGATTAGGTTGCAAGAAAAAATGATGTTGTGGAATTTCCAGAAATTCACCACTTTCAAGCAGACTTTTCATTCATGTAATCACTAAGAAATCCTTAATAGTTATCAGTCTAAGATTGTGCTTATGCATTAATTATGTAACGATTCAAAATATGTTTTCCTCAGAAAACAATATATAACTCAATACATTGACAAAAGTCATTAATACTTTAAAGCAGAATTAATTGATAATTATTTGAATGATTGATATTTGTTAAAATACTTGATTTATTAACAATTAATTTATTAATTAATATAATAATTATTGGATTATTAAAGCATTAATGAGGTTAAAGGATATTTTTCATGGAATATCTGAAAGCTATAATATTACATCAGAAACATTTTCAAAGGTAGCATTAGAGTAAAAATGTCATTTAGTACTTCTTAAACTTGTGACAAAATTAAGAAACATGTTAATATTCAGGGAGGAATTCATAAGTGGCTTCAACTTAATACTATGCTACATGGCCTCTTTTCTTTTTCAGAAATTAAAAAAAACAGCCACTATTCATGTGATAGCTATATAACCTTTAAAGACTACAAAAATAGAAACTTTACATAAAATTTTAAAAACATTTTTTATCCTCCTTAATAATTCCAAATATATTATATATTAATAAATTTTATAATCATGCCAGTGTTAATAAGGCTATAAATAAAACACATTGATGGAAATATAATTCACATAATGCTCTTAGAAATAACTTGAAGCATAAAATATTTGTAGCCTTTGATAGTAAACTTTACTGTTTTCAAATATTCCTTAAGATAAATTCTATATACTTGTCGTATAAGTATATAGAATACTATTACTAATAATAATAATATCATTATTTCTGATACTGGGTAAGGTTGAAAACTTTAAAGGGTAAAAAAAGAGAATGAAATTATTATTATAACAAACTTGATAGAATATTAATCATTAAGAGGTTCGTTATGAAGACAAATAAGAAACAATGACATGATGCAAAGTATCAGAAGACATAAGGGTAAAACATAAGGGCTGTAACAGTACCAAAAATATTCATGTCAGTGGGCAAAAAATGGAAGTTTTAAAAAATACAATACTCGGTGTGTTTGTGAGTAATATTATGGGTAAAGAGATTTTTGTGCATATCTTCTTATTGGTATTATATTTAGTTAATAGACAAAAGTGTTAATTTGTGTTTAAAGATGCAGACATCAGTGGAAGAGATGGCACCAAGGCTGGCACAAAACCACTCCTCCATAAAAGCAGTGGGCACACTGACAAATACTATAAATATCAACTTTCTCAGAACCACAGGAATTAACCAATGCTTGTGAAATCCAAGGCATGTTTATAAGAAAAAAAAACTCTTGAATATCAATAAGGCAAGGCAAACTACCACGAAACTTGATTCTAATCCCTTTGTGCTTTCCTAAAACCTGAAGTGCCCTTGAAAATCAGCAACTTTATAACTACAGTACCATAGAGCAGGCAGAAGGGGCGTGGAGCTTCCCAAAACCCAACAGAGAACTTCATCATCTCACCTGTCAGGCAGCTCCCGGAAGCACTTACAAGGCCTGTCTTTATTGGACTTGACTCAGAGCTTTCCGACTGTGATTTTTTTTTCCCCAGGGGCATTTGGTGAAAAGAATCATCAGCTATTGTTTAACATTGTAGCTGCCTGATTCTGTGATAACAACTGAAGCAAGTAAGAAATCAACTAAAAATTTCAAAGGAAAAGCTGAGAGGAAAGCTATCCATAGAAAATTGAAAATCTCTGATTTGTTCCTAGGAATCTAGAAGGTCACATTCATGAGCAGGGCTGTGAACATGTCCAGGAAGGTCCCGAGAAGGCCCTCTCCCTCATCTTTGGCTGACTTTGAGGCTCTACGTGAGAAGGATGTGAAGGGTAAGGCAGAGTTATAAACTGATGACAAACTGTGCCCAACATGGACCAGTGGCCCTTGGTAAGGATTAGAGATGTATTGGTGCAAAGCACCTAAGGTAATCTGTATCTGGACATTAACTGGATGCTATGCTAACTGAGCAGAGACTTCAGTGGCCACCCATCACAGAATTTGTTTATGAAAGTCACTAAACAAGCAATAACAATTCTTAAAAGGAAGAGAGATGATTTCTAGAGTTGCTAAATTATACTATTTAAAATGCCAAATTTTCAGCAAGTTATAAGTAAACGTCCATATATTAAAGATAAATTATATAAATAATCCCTAAGAAAACTCAGATGTTGGATTTATTAAATAAACACTTCAAATCATTTATTTTAAATAAGTTCAAAACTTAAAAAAAAAAAAACTCTTTAAAGAGCCAAAATAGAAAGCATGAGAACTACAGATCAATATCCCTGATGCACATCAATTCTAATAAAATATTCACAAACCAGATTCAAAAACACATCAAGAAGATAGGATACCATGATCAAATGGATTTCATCCCAGGGATGCAGTCTTGGTTCAACATCTGCCAATCAATAAATGTAATTCACCAAAAAAGTGGAATTAAGGACAAGAAGCATGTGATCAAATTTCAATTGATGCAGAAAAAGCCTTTGATAAAATCCAGCACCCATTTATGCTAGAATGCTGGAGAAATTAGGGCATTCACCTAGAAATTATAAAGAGACCAATCCAAAGCCATACTGAACCTAAAAATTATGAAAGCATTTCCTCTAAAATCTGGAACAACAAAAGGATGTCCACTCTCACCATTCATACTCAATATAGTTCTTGAAACTCTAGCCAGAGCAATTAGAGAAAAAAACAAAGAGATGAAGTCAAATTATCTGCTGATGACATGATCCTATATGTAGAAGACCCCCCAAAAAATCCACTTCTAGAGCTAATAAATTCAGCAAAGTAGTAGGACATAATGTCAACATTCATAAATTAGTAATTTTCCTATACTCAAATAGTGATTCTGCTAAGAAAGAAATCAGGAAAACTACTGCATTCACATTAATTTTAAAAATACTTGAGAATTAATCTGAAAACTACTGCATTCACATTAATTTTAAAAATACTTGAGAATTAATCTAACTAAGGAGGTGAAAGACCTCTACAATTAAAACTATAGAATGCTGAAGAAAGAAATTGAAGACCATCTTAGAAAATTTGGAAAGACCTTCCATGTTCCTGAATATGCAGAATTAATTGCCATACTGCCAAAAGCATTATATATATCCAATGCAATCCCCATCAAAATACCAATAACATTCTTCGCAGAACTATGGGGAAAAGTCCCTAAAATTTGGAAAAACAAAGTTCCCAGAATACCCAAAGAAATCCTAAGAAGAGTGATATTGGAGGTATCACAATATCTGATCTCAGTAATAACACAGAGCTATAACAAAAACAGTATGGCATTGGCATCAAAATAGACATGAAGACCAACAGAATAGAAGACACACAGGCAGACTCCGTGGTTACAGGTATCTGACACTTGCCAAAAATATATGCTGAAGAAAAGACAGCCTTTTAAATAAATGGTGCTGGAAAAAACAAATATTTACATGTAGAAGAATGAAACTAGACCTATCTGCATAAAAGTCAAGTCAAAGTTGATCAAAGACTTCAGAATTAGACCAGAAACCTTGAACTGCTAGAAGAAAACAGAGGGTCAACACTCCAACATATTGCCATAGGTAGTGACTTCCTTAACAAGACCCCTAATACTCAAAATAAATAAATAAATAAATAAAACCAAGAACCAATAAGTGGCATAGCTTCAAACTTACAAACTTCTGCACAGCAAAAGAAATTAAGAATGTGAAGAGAGAAAATGTACCAGCTACTCCTCTCACAGGAGATTAATGTCTAGAATATATGAAGAACTCAAAAAGCTTAACATTGAAGAACAAATAACCCAATCAATATGAGCAAAATAACTGCACACACTTCTCAAAAAAAGAAATACAAATGATCAAACATATGAAAAAAATGTTCAACCTTCCTGCAATCAGGAAAATGTACATCAAAACTACATTGAGATTTCATCTCACTCCAATTAGAACAGCAATCATCAAAAATATAAATCATAAATGGGCAAGGATGTGGGATAAAAGGTATGCTCATACATTGTTAGTGGGATTGCAAATTAGTACAACCACTCTGGAAAGCAGTGTGGAGATTCCTAAAAAAAAAAAAAAAAAAAAACCAAAAAAACGAGAAATGAAAGCACCAGATGACCCAGCCATCCTATTCCTTGGTATTTCCCCAAAAGAACCAAAATAGCATACAATAGCAGCACAGCCACATTTCTGTTTACAGCAGTGCAATTCACAATAGTCAAGTTATGGAACCAGCTCAGGTGCCCTTCAATAGATGGATTTAGAAAATGTGTCATATACACACACACAATGGATTTTTACTCAGCCATGAATAAGAATGAAATTAGGGCAGTTGCTAGTGAATGGATGGAAACAGAGAATGATGCCAACTGAAGTGAGACTCAGAAAATCAGGTGTTGAATGTTTTCTCTCATTTGTAGAAGACAGAGTAAAATAAGAGGGAAAAGCAGTGTGGGGGATGGATGAGGATAGAATACCCTATGGAGAGAGGGAAGACCATGGAGGAGGAGGAGGAAATGGAAGGGGAAGGAAGGAGGATGAGAAAGGGAAAGAAATGTGGAATGCATTTGACAAAATTATGCTATGTGCATGTATAAATATACCACAGTGAACTCCTGTCCTGTGCATATCTATAAAGCAGAAATTAAAAATAAGTAGATACATAGAAGGAAGACCAACTGAGTAAAGGAAAGTGAATAAAGTAAAGGGGAGGGGGGAGGAGATGGAAAGAAGAGGACGTGGGACCTGAAAGGGAGCAAATTAAATTTTATACATGTGTGACTATGTCAAAGTAAACCCAGCTATTAATACATAACTATATTGTACTAATAAAAGCATTAAAAAGAATGTAAGCAATGTCTCACCAAATAGAGAATGTCAATAAAGAT